CATCTCGAGTTCACACTCCGTCCTGGGGAGGTAAGTAGATGGCAAACATCTTTATTATTCATAACTCTTGTTTAGCATTGATTAAGATTTCCATCTTTGCAAGTCTATTAGTAGAGACCTATTAGTAGATGGCCTTGGCCAAAACCAGATCAACATTAGGCCAAATCTCAGCTCCTGATTTACTTGGTTTCCTCCTGGTGACTTTATTTGAGTTCAGTGGATTAAGTCCCTGGCTTGCCCAGTATTCATTTTGGGCAAGGAAGCCAAAAGTGGGGCCTCTAGGAACCACTCGAGGAGACGTCACCGGGTAAAGTAAGAGCATGGTGAGGGGGGAGCTGGTGGTCAGCCCGGGAAGGTGAAAGCTGGAGGGGGCTTGTTCCTTCCAGATCCTTCCATTTGAGTCCCCAGTGGCCTCATTATGATGGCTCGAGGAGTGGAGGGGCGAGGGGGATCCGTGGCGAGGTGGAGAGGCACTGCGGATTAAGGATGGGTGGTTGGGAAGAACAGAGGAGCAGTAACTGTTTTCCAGTGGTTCCCAAACTGTAGGGCCAAAACAATGTTTAAATGCAGATTCCCTGGCTCCAGTTTCAGAGTTTCTGATTCAATCTGTCTAAGGCCTAGGAATCAGCATGTTAAATAGGCCAGTAAATGACTGATGCAGGGGGTCAGTCCATGCATCACTGGTTATGAAACACTGGACTAGGAAGGGGAGAAAGAGAAGATGAAAGAATCGACGGGAGGTGAGGGAATTTTGCCTGAATCATCTTTACCCCTCTGAGAAAGTGTGGTAGCTGTCGTGCGTGCTTCTACAGACCCTGCCTATAGAAGGGGATGCAGCTCCAGGTGGTGGGCAGGGGCGGGGGAGGGGCAGAGAGGAAAGTCTGGCCACAAACACATCTCACCTGTCCATATTGCGTCCACTGAGGCTGCTCCTTTAAGATTCGTCACTCTCCTGCCCACCTCTTCCCTCTGATAGCTAAGGGGACCTTGTGTGAGGGGGAGTCTGAAGGAAATGGGGGTGTAGCAGTGCCCTGAGCCTGGGCTGCTCCCAGCATTTGGGAAAAGAGCTTATCTGGAAGGCCTATTTCCCGTCTCCATAGCAACCTCCTAGAATAGTCAAGGTGTGAAGTGGGCTTTAATTAAGCTGCCTCAGGCACACGTGGCCTCATTTGAGGCCTCACATGGTCGGCCATGGAGGGTCCAGCTTCTGAAGATCAGGGCTATTGTTTGGGTCACAGTGGGCAGATAGTCCTGGGAGGGCAAGTGATCCTCATACAGCTTCAGAGCTAAGCACGCGCCCACCTGGGACCTCCTGACCTGTTGGGTTTTCTCTACCTACTCTTTGTGCCTGTACAACCATGCAGCCAGAGCGATGGAGATGCCACATGTGTACACAATTCAACACAACAAACACTCGTGTGTCATGGGCAAGTGCCAGATACTGTGCTGGGCGCTGGCGATACAAAGGTGAAGGAAGTTTTCTTGCCCACTGGCTTGCCTTTACCCCTTGAAGCTATCGGTGACATTGCCCTGACTAGAAAGGTGAGTCCAGAGAGGTTACCTGGGACCCAGCCGGTCTCCTGCATGGTGCAGCCACTCTACAGAGAACAGGACACTTGTGGCTAGATGGGTTCAGTGTTGGTTTTGCAGGGTGGATGTCACAGAGGAAAAAGAGAGTGACAGGGCTTTGGGCCGTGGTTCCCAAAGTGGGGTGTGCATACCTCCAGGGGCTGCGTAAGGTGATCCACTGGGAATGGGCAGAGAATACTGAAGTGCTTACTAATTGGCCTTTTAACTTCTTGTCATTTATGCCTTTCTATTTTTGTGATGTTTTAAAATGAAGAAAATGTTAGTCCAGTAGTAAAATTTATGCAGTTTACGAATTAATGAATGTTCAGAGATAGGTACTCAGTTATTTTTCTTGTTTCGCTGTTGGATGTGCATTATGAAATAAATCCACAGACCATTGGTTTAGAGTATTGTCAAAAGAGTGATTGATGTTCCAGGCCCTAGAATCTAGGTTGGAAGGGGAAGGGAGCAAAACCACAAGGGAGCTGAGAGAATGGAGGAAAATCAAAGAATGGGGGATGGGAAGCCTCAAGGGGACTGCAAGTCAAGTTTAGTGGACTTAAGGGAACAAGGTATCAGGAGAGGAGGCTGTGATCAGAAAGCAGGATGAAGATTGAGAACACCTCAGGTGGGACAATGCTAGGTGATTCCAAAGTCAGACTTGTAACCGGGGGAGGGAGGGAATGAAGGGAGCGAGGGCCCGTGCGTTCACTGGATGTGCTGTCCACACGGGTATTAAAGTGCCCGAGCTGATGGCATGCTCTAGGATAGAAAAGAAGATGGTCAGTCACCAAGATGCCAGTGGGCGGTCCGGGGCTAGTGGTGGGTAACCAGGTGGCGTAAGGGAGCGAAGGAGAGATTTATGTGAAGGGAGAGGAGTAATGGTGTCTCTAAGGGGTAAGGAGGACCCAGATCCTCCCTTTCCAGGCGCTGGAGTCTGGGAGGAGTGTAGTGGGATGAGCGGGGCCCTGTGAGAGAGCCAGGTTCCAAAGGAAACAGGAAGAGAAAGGAATGCTCCCGCCCTCGGGCTAAAGTTGAGGGGAAGTTGCTCACCCTGGAACAGAGGTTCCAGAGGGCTCTGGAAAAGCTCTGGAATGAGGGGTGCAGTGGGAGTAGGTCTTGGAGGAGAAGATGAGAGCAGGCTGGTGGTGAGCCTGTGGGAGAAGAGGGACCACTGCCTGAGCTCCAGGCCTGCCCTGCCCCACCGGGGGTGTACCGTTTTCAAATGCTCTGTCTGGTGGGTTGTGGAATAAACTTTGTAAGCATAGCTGGCATTTTTTAAAAAAGGAACATACAAATGTGTTTTTATTCAGAAACACAAAATACGTTATCTGGGGGCATGCACAATGACAGCCTTAAACCATCATGTACTTTGTCAACTGAAACACATAACCTTTTCTTCAGTCTTTTTTTTCCAAGTGATTTCTCTGAGTGTACTGGTGAGAAACACAGTTTTGAGCTTCCTGTAACAGTTCATTAGTAGTGATAATGCACTACTTAGGAATTAGAACATGCCATCTCCATGCCGCCTCCACCTGCTCTGCCCATGCCAGGGTCCTCCTCCTCTTCAGGATCTTTGTGACAACTTCTGCTCTGTTTCACACAGCAGCAGCATCCACGAAGCAGTCCTTACTACCTTAGTAGTGCCAATGATGCCTTTTTCCACCCTAGCCACAAAATCTCCGAGCATAGCATCACAACCTACTTCTGAATGGCTTTGCCTCATGTTCTCAGCTAAGAATCCTTCTAACTGTCATTCTTGGCAAAGTCATTGCAGACATTTTGAATATTTTCAAAAATAATTTCTATATTCATTTTTTAAATTCTTTGTTAGTTAGATTTAGTGAGTCCAAAGCTGGAATACGCTGAGACCAAACCCAATCACCTCCTGGAACGATGCCTTCTTCGAAAGCAGCATTGAGTGTATCTAGAACTCTTTCTTTTCATTCGCTCTACCTCACTTGTCCCACTAGCCTTCACCATGGCTGTTGCATCTGAACGTTTTGCCATATGGTCATTCAATTCTTCCACCTTATACTCGCTAGTAGCATCCTTTCTTGAATACATTTTTCAATTTGTGACTTATCACCTTTCCCTTTCAAGAGCATGGAGTCATCTTTGGTCTCAATGACTTCTACTTTTTGGAGGCTGAACATCTTCAAGATTTAGGGTCAACCCCTCCTCTCCAAACACCTGCAAAAGCATTTAAAAATGAGACAGTTCCAGGGTATAGTTTTTCTTTATTATACCAAATTTATTCATAATACATTATGCAGGTGTTTTGATGAGAATCCAGAAACATCTTGAGACACCATATTGCTCCGAAATGTGAGAATTTAAGACCATTGCTGTTCCAGGACAAGTCTTGTGTAGAGAGCTTTTTATTGCATTCCTTTGCATTATTTTGTTCACTTCTCAGAACTCTGTCAATTAGCAACAGCTTGATCTTGCAGATGAGATAACAGAACCCAGAGAAAACTCACGCACGTGGAAGATAGTGGAGCCAGGACTAGATCCAGTGTTCTCTCTGCTAGATCATTCTGCCTTTCAGAATTAAGGACAGATCAGACAATAGGATCAATCCTGGTTAAGTGCATGACAAGTTAAAGCTGGAAGGGACCCTTCTCTGTATCCCATTGAACCCCCACCCTCCTAGACATTCAGCAGATGTATCTAATTAGGAAAAATGCAAATTATTCGACTGTATACCTATATATATTATCCTTGGAAAGAAAAGGAACATTTGGTAGATGTACAAAAAGTATGGGAAAAATTTGCATGCTATCCTTGTGTAGGGGCCATGTTAATCTTCTCTGTATTGTTCCAATTTTAGTACACATGCTGCCAAGCAATCTCCAGAATATTTTAAAGTGAATGTACTATAATAGAAAATACCAAAGTGTATCACATATAGTAAAGGTAAGTATTGGTTTATGAGTCTTTTGTGTTAGTTGCATATATGTGTAGTTATTGTGGGTCATGATAAAATTTATTTCGTACTGTGGATTGTGCTAACAAATGTTGGAAAGCCATTGGTACAGTAGAAAGAGCAGTGGAAAGTGGGTTCAATTACTTGTTTCCAGTCATTACTCTGCCAACAACCATCTGTGTGAGCTTGGCCAAGGAACTTCACCCCTCAGGGCTTCTATTTCCGTATCTTTAAAATGAGCAGGTTGAACTAGATGTTTTTGAGATCCCTTCCTCTAAGATTGTATCATTCTGGTGATTCTCTCATGGCATCAATGAAACACAGCTTTCCAAGTGAGGAAGATGGGCGGAGAGAGGTGGCCAAGGTGGAAAGGCAAGCATGAGCCAGGTGCAGTCACGTGACTGCCCTACAGCAGCTGCTGTCCTGGTGCTCATTCTTGCTGCTTGTCATCACGCTGGTAGCACCCCAAGATGCTGCTGCCATGAGGGTGTGAATGACGACCATGGTTAAATCCAAGTTGGAGGCTGTGGACAGCAGCGGAGGTGATGACTGCCAAACACACACACCTGGTACCACGCTTGGCACTGCTGGGTGCTCAGAAGCAGTTCTGGATGACAAGTGTGGTAAATGTTCCAAGGGGGAGGCAAAGGAAAGGCAACCTAAATAGAACAAGTTGAAACTTAGGAGCCGTATTCCCTCTACAATCTACATGGCCCTGGAGTAATAAAGACCTTCCTTAGGAAAAAATAAGGGAGGAGAGCAATTTCAGAAAATATGCAATGTGAAATGCTTCATATAACTCCTTTTTTGGTGTAGACTAGCACTTATTTCTATAAAGAACGGGGACCTGTTATCCCTTTGCACTCATTTGATAGATAAAATGCAAAGTTAATTTCACGGTGGAGAAACACCCAAGAGGTTGCTTGCTTTCTGTTATATAGAAGACATTTTTGACACTAGCGCATAGGATGTGTATAAACACACACACACGCAGGAGAGCTGATAAATGCATTAAATGCATAAATTATTTATTGGTCTTGGTACAGCATACAATATGAGAAGAAATGAGATGTATCTGTGTGATATGCATGCACGTGTAGAAATTGAGAGAGTATTTTTTTCCCTCATGTAGAAACAGAATGCCAGAAAACATTCCGCCTTTGAAGAACAAAAGTCCAAAGATGTTCTACCAATCGCAGGTTATAGTTTTGCACAATTACTTGTTCGTTGCATTTGGAAATAGGGCCCAGAGAAGATAATTGCCTTTCCCAGCCTGGATCTCTTTAGCATGCTTCAATTTAGTGTTACCTGCTAGGTGAGATTTAACAAGATGTGTCTGTTGGGGTGCAAAAAACCTGGTTGACAAGAGCCTTCTGTTTCAGGAAGCAGATCAAAAGTGGGCTTGGGTGTTGTTGAGCACTGTGTACTTTTACAGAAATAAATTAGTAATTTAAGTTGTTTTAGTACTTGTGGAGGGCACTAACTGACAGCTCTGGGGCCCAAGGCCTGTCTGTTGCCCAGAGGCATCATGGTATAAACATGGAACTGACCCACCTAGCCCCACAGGTGAACCTCTTCCAGTCATGCCAGTTGCTCCAGCTAGAATGAGGAAAAACGCAGCCTGGAGGTGGGGCCCAGCATGACCATGGCTGTGCAGGAGGCACTGCTGGCCCAAGAGGGGAGGAGATGCGCTTGCTAGATTCTCCTTTTGAGTAGGTGACCAGGGAGATTTAAGAGATGAATACCTTCCTGATCATCACCCCCCATGACTGGAACTAAACCCAGGAGCCTCATGTGGGATGTTGATGTAGCAGCTTCTTCAGTTACTCTGTTTACCTCCAAACAACAAAAACAAAACAAAACAAAATCCAAAACCAAAACAAAAAATAACTCCAAACAAAGTCCCAACAACAGGGGAAAAAAAAAATCTCCAGCCTATACTAACCAAGTGGCCGTTATTTTTGGCTGTGGGCTGGGCTGGTGAGATGCTCTTTGGCCGGCTGTCACTGTGCATGGCCGTCTGACTGGAATTTTTGTGAGCTGGGAAAGGGATGGTTATATTTGGCCTCTGGAAGGGAAGTTGCTGAGATAGAGAGGCAGCTTTGGGTCAGAGGGTTTGAGCCTATGCCAACAAGAGGGGAAGCAACTCACCAGTTTCCAGCTGAGGAAGCTGGTGGGACAACCCAGCTGAACCCTTTGGCAGGGTCCTGGGGAGGTCTGCAGGGGAACACACCACCCCCAGTGCTCGAGGGGCTTGGTCCAGCCCAGTGGGACTGGCTGCCTCTGGCTGAGCCTGCCGGGAGGGCCAGCACAGGCTCAGCCACAGTGCCTGGAAAGCAGGATTGATTCATTGCGTCTGTTTTCCTTCATTTAGCCCACAGCACTCTGGCTAGGCCATCTCCTGGTATTGTATTCATGGAAGTTTCTAGGTTGTTTACTAGTTCTTATTCATATGCCTGTGTTCACTACTAGATCGTGAGTGCTTTAGTTTACCTTTATGATCCATATAGCTTCCACACAGAAGGACACTTAAAAATCAAATATGCACTATATCGCCCTCCCCCTTTAGGCTCTGGGTTATGTATATATAAAAAATAAATTATTAAATCTTCAGTTGTGTTATAAAAAGAATGACACTCCAGTCATGGTAGAAAAACAAGATAATTGTTTATGAATATACCACTAAAATATGCATTTTGTAAGGCTCATTGGTTTATTTCCAATTCGAGAAACCACATAGACATACAAAATGGTTCATTAAATATTCATTATACCTCCTTAGCTGCTTTTATTAGAAGTGCCCACGGTGCCAATGGCAAGGTTGACGTTTTCAGGGGTTGAATCAATGCTTGAAGCTCATCAATTTCTTATAGGCAGTTTTGGTTTAAGGTATTTTGATGATTTTATAGAAATGTTTTACCCCATTAAAAAGCTATAACTTAGACTGTGGTGCAGGGCAGGCACACATTAGATGATAAATGGCTTTGTGTAAGAGATTTCAAATTTGTCAAATCTGCATTAAAAAACTATTTTTGAAATTGGTTAGAAGGTTGGGTGACTTCTCCAGGTGAAAATGCCATTTGTTTTATGGATCCTTCTGAAACAATTCCCCCGGAGTTTTCATTTGAATAAATCACAACCAAGTTCAGCGCTCCAGAAACAGCTGGCGTGGTAGGGTTGCATTAGTGGCTCTCTGTTTCCTTCTTTTAGGGAAAAGGACTCTATTTCCTCATCTGTAAGAGAAGTGAGACTAGATAACCTGGAGGCATGAATTCTTATATCCACTCATTCATTCATTCATTCCACACTTATTTATTGAATAAGTGTGGGCATGTTCTTGGCACTTAAGAAACAGAACATACAAAACCTAGACTTTGTTCTCCTGGGGATGACATCTTAGAGGGAGAAAGACAATAAACAAATAAGATAATTTCATGGGTTGACAAGTGCCCCGAAGGCAGGAAAGGAGAGTATTGTGATGGTAAGTTGTTGGGCAGGTGGCCCCACGCCTCTCTGAGAGAGAGTCATTTTAGCAGAGGAGAAGCCCCCTGAGTGAACATCTGGAGGAGGAGCATCAGGGGAAGAGGGCCCAGCCAAGGCCATGGAGTGCGAGGCAATAGCCTGCTGAGGAGGAGAAGGCCTAAGTGTTTTCTTCGTGGACCTTCTTCCCCCACCTCTCGAGCTGTGAATACTCTGCTGCACGAAAATCAGTGAGGCCAAGGGGGTTATGGGAAGTGTGCAGAGGGAGGGAGACAAGAGGGCATAGAACACTGGGGTTGGGGGTGGATAGCTATGTTAAGGTAGACTAGGCCACACTGTAGTAATGAATAATCCCACAGCTCACTGGCTTAACCAAGCACACGGTTCTTGCCTGCCTGTGTCACGGTCTGATGTGGGTCTCACGGCTCCTCTCTGAGCAGGGAAGCAGATTCTTGCTGCCATGTGTCTCCACCATCTCCAAGTCCTTCATTTCCAGTCTCGTGAATCAGGAGGGGAGAATGAGTGGAAGGCTGGACTGAACGTTTTAGGGGCCAGGGCTGTACTGGCTGCTTGACTAGAATCCAGGTCCATGACTCTAGTCTAACTGTAAGAGAGGCTGGGAAACAGTCTTTCTGTGTGCTGAGGGAGCTAGGCTGAGTGGGGAGCATCATTGAGCCAGCCTTGGCCACAAGAGAGAACGGAGGAAAAGGCAAGATTCTCCCCCTCTCCTTGTATCCTTGAAGACCTGCATGGCACATGTTCCATCTTAGCCCGGAGTACTGGTGAAGGGGCCAGGATGGGGAGGGAGTGTCCTCACACCATCCCACCAGACAGTGCACAGAGAAGAAAGCGAGGGAGGAGTCATAATTTCAGCCCTGGAAGGGAGCTCGCCTAGATGAACCCCTCACTTTAGGCTCAAATTAAGTCATTTTACTACTTGCTAAGAGTCTGGAGGAGAAGCCGGGTTTGATACTAGAGATCCTTAACTCCTATTGTCTGGCCTTCGAGGCTTCCTTCCATGTGACTTTACCCCATATTCATCTAACCTACTGCTCACACCTCAGACCATCCACTCTAGCTGGCACTGTTCTTGTAGCTTCCTACCGAACAGCCAATGGACTTCATCTCCTGTGTTCTCACTATTCTTCTCCTGCAATGCCTGCACTCCCCTCTTTACCAAATCCTACTAGTCCTTCTTATCTTTGTGGAACTTTCTCTACCTTCTCACACCTCAATGGAGTGCAATCACAAAGAGGCTGTATTTCTCTTCCATTCAACCTTCAAATCTGCTCCGGTGGGTCCCTATTTCCCATCCTTGAGACATTTCTCGTGCAGATCCCATAGCTTTCTGGATCACTTTCAGCTATTAGAATAGCCTCAATTTTGATAATGAGATTTATTTTCAAGTATTACAAGTCCAGTCTAGTCTAATTTAAAACTTCAATCTCACCTCCAAACCAAAGTTACTTACCTAAGCTTAAGCTCGAGGGTGTGCAGTTGGGAAGGAGGGGTTGGTTGGCAATTTTGTCCTCCCTCTAGCTCATCTCCCTTTTGACTCTTCCAGGGTCCAGGTTGGCATGGATGAGGTTAGAAGAAGAGGGGCAAAAAATATATGTCACATCAGGATTCCCTCTTGGCTAATGTTGAGAAGCCACTCAATGTCCTCCATTCTGGCAGAGACTATCATTAGTTCTCTCACAGGGCACAGTTTTGGGTGCTTTGAGGAACCTCCTCTCATTCATCACATAAATCTCGCACTCCCTCCCCCTTACTCTGCTGCAGCCACTCTGGCCTTGTTTCCATTTCTTGGTGTTGGCATGTTCTTTCTTGCCTCAGAGCCTTTGCAGTTTCATTTCCTTTACATGGAGCCCTCCCTCTCTTGCTTACATAACTCCTAGTCATCTTTTAAATCTCAGTTCAAGAGTCAATTTTTTGGAGAAGGCTAATATGATCTCTCAGCCTAGGGCAGGCCCCAATCATATCCTCTCACAGCCCCTGTAATGAAGACATTACTTGTGTAAATAGTTGTTTAACATCTGTCTTTCCCACTTGAATGTGAATT